CCGGGCGGGGGGTGATTGACAGTCACTTGTTTTCAGTAGCCGCCATTAGCCAGAGCAGGGCCGCGGTAAACAAAACACAGCGCGGGCTTGGGGTTTTTCATTGCCGGCTGTAGGTGGTTGTGGGGAAGCGCTCGCCTGGGGCGGGCTGTTTAGGAAGGGAGCCTTTTTTCAGCGCTTCTCCGTAAAGCGGGTGTTTCGGGAGGCCTTTGCAAAGGAGAAGCGCCCCTTCCTCTCGGCTGCACCGTGATGCCCTGGCGTGTGTTTTGCTTGTGTGGCTCTCAAGCTACTTCTGGTGCGTCGTGGTGGAAACTGCTGTTTCAGGACAAGCTGGTTTTGCTGAAAGTTGTATTTAGACTTATTCGCTAGGCTGTATAGCAGCTAGGAGGTTCTCACTCTAGTTGAACTTCATGCATACCAAGCATTGATGTCTTTTTGCTTGTAAGCTCAAAATATGCCTTCTTATTTAAACAATGAGGAAGCTGAGACAGATTGATGTCACTCAGCCTTCCTTACTGCATTTTTGTTGAGACTCGGGTTTTATTGATGTTTTTTCTGGAAAAAAGGAAAAAAAAACACTTTGTTTTCATGGCTTTAATCACTAAGATGCGGTTTTCCCAACTGGAAAACAAATAAGAGTACAAATTTACTCTATGAGCTGGTGCCAGAGATGGCACAAGTGTTAATACTTCTGTTTCCCTGTCTTGATGGCTTTGCGGTTTGAGCCAAGTCAGTGGCTTTTTAAACAAATTTCTGACTGCATGAAGGAAAGTGGTTTTCTGATCCCGTTCAGATAGGCTTATTACAAAGTTAATGCAGCATGCAAAATTGGCCTTTTGTAAAGGTCATTCCACTGAGCACTTGAAAGATCTGATAGTTGAATTCAACAAGGCAGAAAATAAATTATACGTAGTTATTCAGATGGATAGAGTTTGGAAATTAAATGGCATTTGTAAATCTGAGGGGGGAAAAAAGATACAAGATTGCTTTGTAAAGTCCCACTTTGCATATCATTTAGATAAAGGTTTAAATATGTTGTATGTATCTAAAAAGGTTTGAATATCTTGTATGTGTTAACTTGTAGAGAAAGAATATCTTGTATAAGTCATGACCAGGATGACTTGCATCTACAGTCTTCTACAGGTGGATGTAGTTGTGTGTAAGTAATGAAATCTGCACTTTGTTTGGTAGACACTCCATGCTGCCCCGTCATGTGCAGAGGCTGGGCAGAGACTGGATCGCCCACTGGAATGGTTCTCAGATGCTCACCTTGAACAGCCGAGTTTCCAGCTGTATGAGATGGGCTGGACAGTATCCCTGGGCCTCGTTTCCACTTCCTGTTCCAGTTGACTTCTCAGCAAACTGGAGGCTCCCTCCGTTTTTTGGACCTTGGAGGCAATTTCAGAACTCTAACTGGCAGCTTGATAACTTCACACCAAGTTCTTGCTTTCACCTACCTAACCGCAGTATGAAATCTGAGGGAGAAGAACCATTGACAAAGAAGAGAAGACTCAGTGGCCAGCATGATGCTTCAACTCCTGAAGAAGAAACAAACTTCTTAAATCAGAAGGAAGCATTGTGTCTTTCTGTAGCACAGAATGAAGAAAAACATAGCAGCAAGAAAGGTAAAAGGTGCTCTTTGCTCGTTTTCCTTATTTATTTGTAATGCTAAACACATCTAAGAAGGTATAAGCAATATTGCCTGTACCTCTTGAGTTACTCTTTTTCTTGATAACTCTCTCAAGAAAACATCGGTCTTAAACATATTACAGTGTAGTGCTGTTTAGTCCATAAACATGTATTTTGTGCTGTCAAACAGTGTGCCAGAATTGGGTTCACTGCGCTTGGTGGTAGAACACGGTCAATTATGCAAGGGATTGCCCAGCTGGGGGGTCCTGAGCTTGGTTCAGACATCTCTCTCTCGGGTATCTGTTGCCAGATCAGATCTGTTAACTTGAGGACTCTTTTAAAGCAAAAAGATTTTGCCAACTTGCTATAGGGCTGAGCTGGGCTGGCAGTTGTATAGCTTTGTTCCCTGTGTTGTACCTGAGCTCATAAGCCCTACTGGACCTGAACTGGCTTCTTTCCAAGGCAGTTGAGTTATCTGTGACCTAGATAACTGAGAATTAATGGACTGAGATTTAATGATGTTTGCTTCCAGTGTGACTGTGTGGTTTTGTTTTTACAACTGTATTCTGCCACTGGCATGTTAGCAAGCTTTGTGTCAGACCATGACTGGCAAAGCAAACAGCAAATGTGCTTATCCAGATAAATACAGTAAGAAGTGCAGAGATGTCTACCCAACTCAGTAACAGACTTTCATGAAACTTGGAAGTGTCTGATTCAGCTTATTACAGATGTAATCTTCTACATAGCATCCAAATGTTTTACTGAGTATTGTGGATATTTACAGTTTTTGTCTACTGTGAAACAGATAGAGGGGCACAGTCAAAATTGGCCCCCACTTGCATAAATTGCTCCTTAACAAAATAAACTGGAAGTTGTATTATGGCTGAAAAGGGTGATGGATGCCGTCAGCATCCCAAAGGGTTTTTTGGACACAAATATCCATAAGGCTTAGAAACATCATATCCATCTTCAGGAGCTGAAGAAAGGGAGTTTGCTGTGTGCCTTTGTTGCCGAGTCCTCTCTTAACCCCCTTAGCAAGTACATTTTGACATACCTTTATCTCAGAGAGTAGTTAGCATTGTGGTCCTTCCTAGTTATCTTTTGTTTGCGTATTGTAAGGTGACAGTAGTTAAAGATACCTGCTGAGGAGCAATGTGGCCTCTCTGCCCCTATAGAAACAGTACTTAAAGCCTTGCTGTATTCATTACGAATACTAGATAAAATCCTGAATAATGTAAGCACAGTGATGAAATTTACTATCCAAATAGGGCAGATGCTAAGAGCTATGTACAGTCTGCCACTAGTTGATAGCACAGATAACTGGACCTCGGCACGCTCCCAGATGAGTTGGGACATAGCTGAAAAGCATCTTTGTTCATGAGTTTTGTAAGTGGAGAAATATGTATCTGAAAAATAATTGGATGCTTAATGATGGGCAGCTATATTCTTACAAACCTTCATATAATGATACTAATAGTAAGTATGAAACTGGGAACGGCAGAAAGGCAAAGTAAGCCTTTTCAGAAGTTCTTGGTAATTCTGAGGCTTATTAATTTTTTAATTTCTCAGCCTCACTGAGGGAAATCAGGTTCATTATCTGTTTTGGGACCCCTGTAATGGACCCTATTGCAGCTTATGGCTGAGTTTGTCAGACTGCACGCAGGCTAGAGGTGAATCCTTTGTTTGATTTAGACCCCTTTGTCAGTCAGGGATAGAGAGATCAGCAGGATGCCCATATGTTGCTCTGAAGGGTGTATCCCAGACTGACATACCCCATCTTCACTGAGGAGGTAGTGGCAGAAGGTGGTGTAAGTCTATGTCAACAGATTGGATTTGGCTTACCAGTTTGACAGCCTTTCTACAGGGAGCAGAGTGATGTAATCTGACTGCAATGATCTCCTTAGAACAGTTTCCTAATTTCAAAGCAGTTTGAAATCCAGGGCATATAATGGTTTTGGTTTTTTACTGATGCTTATATAAAGCTCATCTGAAACAGAGGGTGTAAATCACTGCTAATCAAATGAGCTTTTAGAATTGTTTAAGCCATTTGAAAGACAACTCATTGTCAGTAGAATGATTTCTAAGAGCAGTAAGAAGTTTCATGGTGTATTACATAACTTTCTCTGCTTCATGTGCTTTGAACAGGAACCATCAAAAGACACTGGGAATATTTCTGTCAGCACAGTAGAACAATGAAAATCTTTGAAAATAAAGAAACTGACCAAAGCAATACAGAAAGTGAGGCAAAATTTGATTTTACAGTCATGTCCTACAATATCCTCTCACAGAATTTGTTAGAAGATAACTCTCACCTGTACAAACACTGCAGGAAACGATTGTTAATCTGGACATACAGATTTCCCAACATTCTACAAGAAATCAAACAGCTGGATGCAGATGTGAGTAGAAAATGACTGTGTGGATATTTCTTAAGAACTGATAAACTGGAATAGCAAATTCTTGCTGTTCTTCATTTTGATAGGTGGGCTGTCTAGTGAATCCAACTGAGCTTTTAGTTATGTCATGCTTAACAGTAGTTTTGATTTATGCTTATGCAATTAGTGTATTCTGTGCGATCTGAACTTACAGCAAAGGCAAACTCTACAGCATGTATCACTCCTAGTTGCCTTTTTTTGATCCATAACTTCCCGGAATGGTCTTTTTTGACATGCCTTTGATGTTCTGCTGATACACTGCAACTTTTTTTTATCATTCCAAAATCTTCTTTCTTCACATAATCTTTCTCAGTCTGTGCTTAGAGCACACTTGAGTGCTGTAAATAAGGCATTGAACATAAGAACAGCTACACTTGCATAGACCAAAGGTCTACCTAGTCTAATGTCATGTTTGTAACAGTAGCTAATGGTAAAGGCTTAGAGTAGGAGAACAGGGCACCTTTCTCCAGGATAGTCTCAGCTTCTGGGACTGTACAGCTTAGGAAGCTCCGGAGCTGGAGGCTCTCTCTTTAATTGTGGCATAAGTTACTTAGCACAAAGGCCGTGCAAGGTTGAATACTTGGTCGTTATTCGCAAACACTTAATCTTGCACTCCAGGTTTTTGTGGAGGAAAAATAGTATGCATGCACACAGGAGAGTCAAATTAAGGCAACCTCCAGGACTGGCACTTTCTAACTTCCCCGTGTGTGACTTTTGACTTCATATTTGTTTTCAGTAGTAGTTACACCAAGTGTCTGTATACTCGGTGAATCAAAAGACCGTTTCTAAAATCTGGCTGCTAATCCTTCAGAGCCATTTGTTAGACCAGGTAATGGAGAACTTATGTCTGAATCCTTTATTTGGAAGGCAGACTCAAATGTTTTATTTTTTTGATTGTATGAGGACTGGAGTGATGAGACTACTATGTGGATATCAGTTTTCTTGAGATTAATGTTCAAGGTTGAGAGAATGATGCAGGCATTAGTAGCACTCATGTGAGACTCTGATCCAAAAGTATTCCTCTGAGGTGTTCATTTCTCTCTTCATCTGGTATTCTGCACCATTTGGCTTGTGAACAAGTGTGCTGTTCTTTACTAAGACATAACTCTGAACTTCTGTTTATGTTGGGGTGTGAAAAAATACTTCACTGTTCTTGGCTGGTTGTTGGGTTTTTTGTTTCTGAGGGCACATCACTTATTGTTAATCTTAATCAGGAAGTCAAGTCAGTAAACTTTTTGCTTCGGTCATTGTTCAGGCCAATAAAAGTTTGGTGATAGAATCCAACCTGTTTGTGTCAGAAAACAGTATTGAAAAAATCAAAGTAGTTGTAGTAGGGAAGCCACAGAAAAACTGCCTTGTACCATTTGAAAAATGCAGTTATGTTAGTACATAGCCAGGAAGCTGGAAATTAGAGTCCCCTTCAAGCTCTTCCTTTCTTCCTCATAAATTTATACATACTGTATATATGTATCTTTACAGTGAGATACATTGGTGGGCTTTCTGGGAGTAGAATTGGGCAGAGGGACTCTGGTGAGGGTATGCCTGGTGCTACCAGTGGTAACAGACAGTTCTCCAGCGTGGAAGGGCTGGAGCCAAAGCCATCCCCTGTAGCAAAGAGCAATTCAGTTCAGGGTACTTGCTGAGGTCTGCAGAGCCACACAACTGCAGCACTGGGGTAAAGAGGCGACGCCTTGTATTGCGTGCATCGAGTCATGACGAGCAGCTGCTCACAGACCCTAGTAGATGCAGGTGCCCCTTGTGCAGAGGAAGTTCTTGCTAAAGGACACGAGCTTTTAACTGATTCATTGTTTTGAACTGTAACCTTAAAGTGAAGCAGAGACTTCAGAATATTGCTTGAGATTTGGCTCTCCTTTGAGACCTTGAATAAGCTAGTGTCAGCTGGGTAAGTGAAGCCTGTTGCTGCAGTTCAGCATGCAGTGCTAACGCATCACCCTTCAGGAACTCAGTCCTTTGTCAGAGTCCCAGGGTGTTTGTGTGTTACTGCAGTGTGCAGGGAGAAGGCTACAAGATGCTCAGAACACTCTTAATGGAGTCTTTTGAGGTTGATCTTTGGTTCAGGTTGTCATAATACGGAAACTTGTTCACGCTGTAGTCAATGAAAAGCATGCCCTTGGCCTCTTCATCCCACTGCTCTGGCATTTAGCCCTCTCCTAAACTGCTGAGAATGTATTAGCAGGTCACTATTTTGATTAAATTTAATTTCACATCTGAAAATGTATGTCTGTCTGAGAAAGGGTGGGAGGAATTGGGGCCTTCTTCACAATCCTAAGGAGCATTTTTTATATGAGAGTGAATCCTTTCATGGGATTATGGAGGCAAAAAGCCTCTGAATTTTTTTTTTCTTAATACCTAATACAGTAATATTTTGACTTACTTACTAATACTTTTTAATTGTAAACTTTTGCCTTAGGTACTCTGTTTACAAGAAGTCCAAGAAGACCACTATAGAACAGAGATCAAGTCAAGTTTGGAATCCCTGGGTATGATGAAACTCTTATGACCAATACATTGTCTTCTCCCCTGCCCCAGCGCTATTTTCCTCAAAAAAACCTCTTAGATTATAGAATCAAGTCTCCTGCCATCACATGCAACAAAGTTGTGTACCCCCTTTTGCAAATTCATCAAGTGCTCTCTTGAAACTATGTTAGTGTTTTCTACCAGTATTCTGTTGGATAGCTTTTCTAGGGTATGTTTTTTCTGGCTTGAAACCTTCCAAATATCAGCACTAACCATGGTCAGTTTGTATTCGTTAGTTTTTATACTAGTACTGTCAGTCAGCCTGAATAGCACTGTCTTATCACTCTCCCATGTGAATTTATGGTAAGGAACATGCTGCTGGGGGTGTGATTCCATGGTGGTTTAAACTGATCTAAATCTTTTGTGCCCTACACCTCCTGCCAGTCCCAAGGCCCCGCTCTCTTCCTGGCACTGGTACTTGTCTGATGCCAGGAGGAGGCAGTTCAAGGAGCACGAGTGGGCTCATACTTTTTTTTCTTTCTTGGTTAGTTGGTGACAGTCTAGCTCCCAGAATTGAGTGTTTGTCAAGAAGATAGGGTAACAGCAGTACTGATTTATTTCCACTTGAAATGTGAAACAACACTGTAAGGCCAGGCTCATGTGGGCAACTGAGCTTCCTGCTGCTATACATGAGGATCTGGAGCTCACTGTAGCTCTTCCTTTTCCCCTCCCTACTCCCAGGTGCATGTCCTGCCCCTTCTCCTGGGCTAGTTCTGGCACTCACTAGACCTTTACCCTGCTGAAACCCACCAGTCCAGCAGAGTGCTCTCCAGACTAATTTTATTTTCCTGGATTAGTTTTCTGTTGGTTTACTGAGTTAAGAGTAAGTGCCACAAAAAGTGGCAGGAACACATGGCCTGGAGCTGGGAGAGAGGAGTGGGAATCCTCTGTTCCAGCACTGGTGTGAGCTCGGAGGTCGACTCGCTCCACTTCATGGGGCTGTACTTCTTGAATTCATATGGCATGGGCTGGGCAGAGAAGCATTTTAAAATGGCAAAAACTAGATACTGTTTCAAGATCATTAGTTTTTTCTTACATGGGTGAGGTCTCATTATTTTATGTAGAGTGAAACGCCGATTTTGAAGAACTTGGCAAATTACTATTTTCGGGTGGGCTTGTTTGAACTCCGATATTATCATTTGATAACTGTCTCAGTTTCCCATGTTGAAAGCTTGCCTCTTGCTGCTAACTGGTTAATTACATAACTGTTGTAAATATGTTTGAGACCTTTGTTCTGTGAATCATTTTAGACAGTGATTTATGACTTATAGTGATTATTGCTTTTGATTGGAATGCTTCACTGGTATTATTCCTAAACCATTGTGGTAACATCCAGAAGAAAAACTTCAATACACAAGTCCACTTTTATGTGTCTTGTGAGGTTTGTTTGTTTTGGTTTGGGTTTCTTTCCACACAAGGAGAGAAGAACTTGCCTGGTATCTTAAACTATGTAGATGCTTACACGTCACAAAAGGTACTAGACCAGGTTTCCTGTAGTATCTAAACTGAAGCTAGACAGGATGGAAAGTCTCTTGTCTTCACTTTTCTATGTGAACTTTACATAGTCTTTGGTACTTCAGACTGGGTGTTGACTGCCATGTGAGAGAAGTAGTGTGAGGCTTTTCTAATTAAAAAAAAAAAAATCTATTTATACAATGGTATTTTATGTTTTTAATTGCCTTTCTTGCAGGGTATCACTGTGAGTATAAAATGAGGACAGGGAGAAAACCTGATGGCTGTGCTATCTGCTTCAAAACTTCCAAATTTAGCCTGATCTCATCAAACCCTGTGGAATTTTTTCGCCATGATATTCCCCTTTTGGACAGGGACAACGTTGGACTGGTGTTGCTTTTGCAGCCTAGATTTGACTCTAAAACTAATGCTCCAATCTGTATAGCCAATACACATCTGCTGTATAACCCAAGGCGAGGGGACATCAAACTGACCCAACTTGCAATGCTCCTGGCAGAGATTGCTAGTGTTGCCCCTCAGAAGGATGGTACCTTCTGTCCAATTATCATCTGTGGTGACTTCAATTCTGTTCCTGGTTCTCCGTTGTACAGATTTGTAAAGGAAGGAAAGTTAAATTATGAAGGACTTGCTATAGGGAAGGTAGGCTATGCTTTTCACTTCTCACCAAAAAAACCCAAAAAAGGTTAATACTGATTAAAGAGAAATATTTGAGTGATGCTAGCATGCCATAGCTGGGCTTGTGATTATTTCCATTGAAGTACCAATCTTAGTGTCCTTTATGCAGTCTGCAAAGCGAAAGTTACTGTGGAGTTACTAAAATAAGCTTGGGTATGTTAGCTGTGTCTTACAGAATACTGTATCCGCTTCTAACATTCTCAAATTAAAAACTTACAAACAAACTAACTGTTCTTGAAAGGTAGTTATCCACAGGATGATTGTATCACTGTGTTTAAGTGTCCCAGTGTTTAAGTAGGATAAAATAACTACTTAATCAAATACCTACTGTGTACTCCATGGGAAGATGACTCTTTATTTTAGATAAACTTTGAATTACAGTGGCTAAAATAAATGCA